GATTCCTTACCTCTTAGATCTAAATATTGGTCTGAGAGGCTAAAAAGGAGGGAAAGTAAAACTCAAGTGGAATTGGAGTCTTCAGTGACATACAAGTTTATTTCAAACGTGGGAGGAAAAGGTAAAACCATCTACATAAGTAATTACATGTAATGTAAATGGACTAAATACTTCTCGTAAAAGGCTGAAAACCTTACTATGTGCAGACGGTAAGCAAAGCAACATTGGTGTAGCTATACAAATGACTGGTAAAGCACATCAAAATGTTACTTTTTGAGGGACATTTCATAATGATAGAGTGGCCAGCCTTACAGAAAGACGAACGGTATCACAATCATAAAACTTTATGCAACAAATAACATGACTTCAAAATGTATCTGGCAAAATGGGCAGACCAAAACCAGGATAAATTCCCAATCCTTGTGGGAAATGTTAACACATACTTTTCAGGAACTTCGAGAACAAGGAGACAAAAATTAATAAGGACATAGAAGATCTTAATAAAGTGATAAATACACCTGAACTGACTGACACATAGAAACTATACCTGCAACACAAACAGAAATCTCATCAAGCGCTGTGCCTGAAAGACAGTTTGTAAGCATGTCGAGATAGACTTGATTCAGAGCATCTTCTCTGACTAGAGCAAAATTAAGCTTACATTTAAGAGTAGCACTAAGCATGCGTGCTTCCTGGACATAGTTACACTTCTAAGAATCTATGAGTCCGCCACACCCCAAACCAGACTCGGCCTGTCAAGTCCATTGTGACTCCTTCGAATCCCGACCTGGACCAAGTAAAACTGCTCCTTGGGGTTCCGAAGGCTTTCCATCTTCACAGGAGCAGACAGCCTCGTTTTCCAATCGCTGAATGGCTGGTAGGTTTGAACCGCTCACCTTGTGCGTGATCAGCCCCTGCTTAACCCGCTGTGCCACCAGGGAGTTTTATGAGTCCAAGAAGCTATTGAAACAGAAAGTAGAACATATTTTTCATTACATTGCACGCCACTGTATTTACCATTATCTGTTAATACTAAAGCTTTTTGTTTTCTTTTTCTAATTACCATTGTTGGGAAAGGTGAAAGAACGAACTGATTTCCCACTAAGCCGTCAATGCACGTTTCCTTTGGGGCATTGATTGCAATCCCCACAAGGTAACCCCACTCATCCCACTGCCACACGGTGCTTCCTGCTTCCACGGGGCTTTGTTTCTGTCCTTTCTTATTTCCAGAGCTTTATCCATGGGCAAATGCTGGCCTTTTGATCTTGAATGGTTGATTTGGCCAAGGGCTGTGTACGGCCCGGTGTTCTGTTCATCGGATAGTCCTGGTATCATTTGGCTGCGAGTTAAACAATTAGGGTGAGTTTAACTCCAGACTTGAAGGGAGTCTAAGGGTGTTCCACTAGTGTCTAACCAACCAATAAGCCCAAACTTTTTGTCTTATCATTTTGCATTTTGTTCCACATTTTTTTTTCTCTCACTCTTTCCAAGATCCCCCATGTGATCCCATTCCAAGTTAGCAGCAGTGGCTGGGCACCATCTAATTATTCGGGTCTCAGAGTCATGGGCTGGCGTTGCCATGCTCCCTTAGTCTTTTAGATGCAGTGTTTTCTT